TGACGTTGAAAGTTGAATTTCACCAAAAAACGAAAAAAAAACTCATGTTAACACGAGGATCATGATGATATCTTGTGGGTCCGATGATAGCGAAAACCTCAAACATGTCATCACCTTTTTTCAAGTCAATAAGAAATTGGAAAATATTTGACCTACACACCCGTAAATAAAAAGGGGGTGGAAAAGTGACCACTAAACAGCAGCAACAACCAACTGAAAAAAAAAACATTTAATTTTTCATGAGTAATCAGCTAATAATTAATGATTGGTTTTTTTTCTTTTTTGGGTTCTTTTGGAAAATTTTATTTGATAATTTTCTGTTGTTGGTGCTCATGATCTTAAAAATGTTATAATGAAAAAAAGATCTTTGATTCTTACAATTATAACAAGGGCAAAGATGAATTGCCTGTTTCTTATTACCTGTTAACATAGAGTTTTGTGTGTGTGTTTGATTCCAATCACGATTACAAAATAATCATTTATTCATTTGGTTAACGAGGATGGCCACGAATTTAATTCGTAAACGAAACAAAACCAAAACAATAAAAAAAAATCACTTTTACTGTAAGTATAGTCGGATATAGGTTGATTTATAGAAATTGATGCTTAAATTTGTTTTATTATTATCAGATCATCATCATCATAAGGAAATATTATAAATTACGGTAAGATAAGAAGTCGATCGAGCGAGAGAGGGAAAAATATTTCATCGTGAATGATAATAAGAAAATCTATACCAATAGAGAATGAAACCATCATTACAATCATCACAAAGTTTTATTTTGACAAATTGTTTTTAGAAAATTTCTCAATTTTTCGCCAATTTCATTTTCAAACAAAAGATAAGTGTATGTGTAAAAGAAATCAACAGAATCGTTAACAAGGCAGTAAATAAATGATGATTTGTTGAAAAAATTGATCCAAATGAGATAAGTTCGATGGAAGAAGCACATTGTGCATCATTTTTTTCAAAAAAATTTAATTGCCAATTTTTTTCACCTTGATTTTTCTTTTATCCAAATTAGATCTCATCATGGATGAAAATGAAAAAACTTCATCGTTATATAACATAGTGTATAGAAATAAATGAAAAAAATCTTACATATGTTCTTTTTTTATTCGAAACTAACTATTTACAGCAAATGATAATAATGATAAAAATCAAATTCAATTCTAAATGCCTGTCATCATCATCAACAACAACAATTTGAAATTGATCGACGGTGTTGATGTTGATGATGATGAAAACTTTGACTAATTGATTCGCTCATCATCAGAATTGAACATCACGATTTGAATTAGAATTGCAACAAACAAACAAAAAATTTGTCTATCTATTCTATAGACATATCGTTAGAAATCTAGAATTCTGATATATATAAAAAACGATAAAATAAGATTGTTTTTCTGTTTTCATTTTTTCTAAATTAATTTTTCCAAATAATTTTTTTTGATCTGGTTTTGATCAAATGAAAAAATATCAACGCCCAGCAGTATTGCTATATTGGAAATCACGAATTATCTATGAATTTGGACATTTCTTTTTGTTCGGCGTTGTCATCACGATCACTGAAGTAAGAAGATAGAGTTTACACTTTTTTTCCAAAACCAAACAATAAATAAACTTGAAGATAGTTCATTTTTTCTAGTGTTATTGTGATTAATGATGAATTCATTTTCTTGTTTGAATGAATGTCATTAAATTTGCATCAATAATGATGATGATGGTTTAAGTGTCACCTATGTTAAATCACCATTATCAGGTGTTTTGATATTTGTTCTTTGCTGCTCGTCTCTTTTTTCACTACTTTTTCGCTTGATGTTGATCTTTATCAGAACAGTGTAGCCAAAAACAATCAATTACAAGCTGAATGTATGGAAATACCTGAAAGAAAAGATCAATTCAAAATATTGATTATTATCGATTCTGGAACCCTAGGGTCTTGACATTTGACACTGATAATTTTTTCAAAAACGGAGATAGAGAAAAAAAATTGGTATCTTGCTGGTTGTAATCAATATGTTTTTTTTGTATGTTATTTAAAAATTTTGATCAATCTTAGATAAGAAATCATTAGATTTTCAGTAAAACAAAGATCATTTATTTGATGTATAGAAATGGAAGTAATTAAAAATTAACTATAGATATAAATTGAATGACAAATCAAGCATAACTAAATTACACAAAGTTAGATTGTTGTCAATTAGCATTTAGATATTTGACGGTATGAAATCTAAAAAAAATTTGTACATCTAGATTTGACATTCCATTTCCATTGCCAAGATTGAATATTTGTTGGAATATGTTGAATTTAGAAAACAATAATTTATCATTTTTATGAAATATTTATTCATTATTTGGCCTATTTGTATCTATAGATTAATTTCATAGGTCTATGATAATGATAATGATCAAAATCTGGTTTATTGTCCTTTCTATGAATGACTACTCCTGTATAGTTGGATTTGATGATGATGATGATGATTAGGTTTTGTTGATTCCCTATGGTGTGTGTATCATCCAAACAGAAAACTGATTGTTAATATCAATGGTATTAAGTTACTTCATCATCATCATAATCATCAAATAACTTTGATTTTGAATTAACACGAAAGGAATGGGAAGAAAAATTCTAGGCGTTTTGAAATGTTTAAATCCGGCAATCCAAAAAATATCTATATATAATCATCGATCAATCAATTCGGAATGAAAATCCAAAATAATATTAATATCTAAAGCGAGAAAACAAAGCAAAAAAATCAAATATAAAATATGAACATGTTATGTATGCTAATGTTATGGCAAAACAATAAACACCTTTCTTCTTTTTGTTGTTGTTGTTGTTGAAGGTGATTTTTATTTTTTTCATGCCTTTTTTATAAAAAAAGGGTCATTTGTAATTTAAATTAAAAATTCCACATGAAAAAACTTATTATAAAACAACAACAGCTAAACTTTTCTAAAATCCTAAATCTGTTTTACTGAATCTTTTGACAAAATAAATCATATGGCCTCAAATGATACAATGTTTTTTTTTCAAATGTGTATGGTAAAAGTAAAACTCATTTAAAATACGCAGTAAAATTATATATTTGTAATAATTTATTTTGATTAATGAAAATGATGAATTTTTTTTCTAAACATAATACACAATTGTTAATTCAAATCATACAAGTAGTTGTTTTTTTCATATAGAAAAAAACTAAGTAAAATTAGCGTTTCATTGAATTGTCATTATGGATCGTTCAAATAAAACCGATTGAATGAAAAAAAAACGGAAAAAACAACAACGACAATATGAAGGGTCGAACCCATGTGTTTCGTATGATGGCGGCAAATTGTTTGTTTAGTTTGGTATTTCGATCAGTTTTATTATTAGAGTGGAAATGGTATCGATAATGTTTGTCTAGCCGTAATAATCCAATCAGCTAGTCAGACATAATCAAATTATTTGAAACATGAAGAAATGAATATGATGATTGAAAATCCAAATCCGCAACAAAAAAAAAGGAATGAATGACACAAATGAAAATACTATGTACCGACACACACACAATGTGACAATCAGACTTTAATCAAGTTCTACTCAAGCAGATCTTCTTACAATGAAATTAAAATTCACAAAAAAAAAAATCCGAAAATCTTTGAAACAAACGATTAGTTTTTTGTTGTTGTTTGGAATTACTTACTTACTTGTTATTATTTGTTACGAATTCATAAATGTCCGCCGCAATCGACACTTTGATTTTGTTTCAATTCAATTCAACCAATATTCGATTTAATATTGTCAAATTTTTTTTTTGAAATCCAAAAAAATCTATACAATGGTTTCTATAGGCCACCATAGTTGATATGATGATATATAGCTAATTATAAACTAAAATGTAACCCGATCATCGTTGATGGAAATAATTTTTTTTCCTATGTATTCGAGATGTTGATAATCTGAATCTTGATTTTTTTTTACTGACAAAAATGAATTTAATTTTTTTTAATCAAATTGAAAGAAATTGTAAACTTTATTTGAATTCATTACCGTGATATTATTAAATAATTTATTTTCAAAAAAAAAATCAAATTTCAAATTTGTGAGAGAAAAAAAGAAACTACATTCAAAGGTGTTCAGAAATAACATAATTAATTAAAGCTATAAATTAAATACTTTTAATCAAAATTCATTATCGATATTATCAACAGGTAACAGCAGCTTGCAAATAAGAACGAGAGAGCACAACAGGCGAAAATATTAATCAATATAGCATACCAGGCTGTTAAGTTAAAGTTTTTTTTTTTCTGAATTTTGATGGCAGTTGTCAGTTTGAAAAATGATGATCTCAACTATGTTCAAATTTGAATTTGATTTTTTTTCTTTTGAATATCTATCCAATAAAAATAAACTATAGTGGAAAAATATCCGTGTGTTCAATATTAACGAAAATTAAATTTGTTTGACATAAATATTTGTATTTTACGAAAGAGGATACATTTGGCAATATCACCAAATCATGCCATACCATTATAATATTATATTGGGTTAGATGATATATGTCCGTGATGAGATAGCTTCTGATGATCATTCATTGTCTATTCAAATGGTCATTATTATCGATAGAAAGAAAAAATGTTTTACCTATTTGTTGTTCTCAGTACAATATACGCGTAAATGATATCACCATATAGATATTTGGACCAAAAAAAATGAAATACCGGCAGGAGGTGAGATGTGTCAAACATATAGAGAAAATGGCCGAAACAAATGATCATCAGGATTGATGAGTAATCTTTTTTTCCTATTTGCCTATTAGCCTTTACATCGAAAAAAAAACGGAACGTTCGATTAAATCTTGATTGTTGAATAAAAAGAGAATTTTTTAGGATATTCATTGATGAAAAACCGCCATCTATTCGAATAAAATTTAAACTAGATTTCTTTTCTTTCTAAAAATTTTTCCAAAAGTTAACAAATTGTTCACTAGATGGAAATCCTAATAAACAATTGAATCAGCTGCTCCTAATTGTTAACAATTATCGGTTTAAATAATAATGCTGCGGTTTTTGATGAAAAACCATTTGATTTTAATGAATAATTCCTGTTGTTTCTGTGATTTTCAATGGGTTCCAATCAAAAACGATCACCTTCAATTATGCCTTCACCAAGAGAAGCTCAAGAATTGATGTCACTGTTGAATGGAGAAGAATCGCCATCAATCAGCAATAAATCTTTGAATGAAATTCCTTTGTTCGAATTTACCGAGGCAGATTATATCGCAATACAATGTGAATTAAATTCATCATTTGACCAATTACTTCGTGATCGTTGGATAGCAGCATTAAAAGCTGGTTCAATGAATTATTCAACTGAACCTGAAAGTTTGCCAACCAAACTAATATCTCCCAACAAATATCGTTTTGTAGCCAAACTTTTAGAGGGTCGAGGTCCTGGTAAACGTCGAACACCCGAAACTATGCTCAATTTAATTGTGCCTTTTCAACCGGATAAATTTAATTTTACAAAAGTAAACCCCAAAGAAATTCTGTTTCGAATTAAATGCTATAATGAAGAAATGAAAACTTATCTAGAAGCGACAGTATTGGTAAACAAAAGTCCAATCGAATATTGTTCTTCACTTTTAGTGCCATATTTGGAACGATGCTTACCACAGGTAATATTCAATATTCACTTAAGTTTTCTCTAACATGTTTGCATAATTAGGTGATGACGGAACAAGCTCTCACGTTAGCGGTTTCAATTATGGCATTATCTGATTTTTCGAATTTACGTTTAGGATACAATTCACCCGGATCAATGGCTTCTGTAAATCATTTACATTGGCATGTCTATTATTTTGATCATCGTTTACAAATTGAAATATTGCCAGTTGTCGATTATGTGCTTCAAGAATGGCCCATACCTGCAATCGTCTTTGAAATCGTCGAACTTAATGATGAATCAATTGGTGTTATTATAAAAGATGTGATACGTATCGTTGACTTTTGCCTGGAGGATGGCCAAATATGCCATAACATTTTCATGACACGAACTCCGAATGGTATAATACGAATATTCATTTGGTTACTACAACCACGATGGGGAAAAAAAGATAATGCAAACCTAAATGTTGCTTTCTGTGAATTATCTGGTTACTTCATGTGCAAGACCAAAGAATCATTTGAAACAATAGACGAAGCACAATGTTTACTTTCTCTAGGATCGGTTGTATCACTCCACGAGAAAGCTTTACCATTATTGCAATAAAATAAATGCAATATTAAATTTTTTTAATTTTGAAATATTAATAAAAATAAGTTTGACATTTTTTGTGCAACTAATTTGTTATTTTGTAAACCAATGAAGAAGTAATTTTTTATATAATTTTTTTATTTTCATTTAAATTAACTGAAATAAATTCATGTAAACGATAACGAAAAATGATTGAAAACGTAAGTTCAGAATTGGTAAATTATCAACGTCGATTAGGTTTTGATCGGCAACTTCGACAACAACATAAACATTCGAAACAAGAAGAGCAACAACAACTACAGTAAAAACAAATGATCAGAGATAGTGGCCAAACGATCAGAAAAATAAATAGCATAAACCAAGGCATAAATCTGGCATGAAAAAAACTAAGTAATTTGTTTCGTTCATCTTCAATTTCAAGAATTAGATTATTTTCATGTTCAAGTAGCATTTTAAGTTTTTTTAGACCTTGATCTTGCGACACCAAACTGGAATTATGCTTTTGCATTAAATAATGACGTTGTTCACGTAGGTATTGTTCTGAAATTGTTTCATTCGCAGAATCAACATTCTCTTCATTGATTGGAACCAAATAAGATTGGACATTATGATGTTCATGTCCCAAGAGAAAGGATATATTTCCAATCATGAATGATGTATTGAGATTTAATCTATGAATATTATTGTTGCATTGGAAAGATCGATGGCCATATTCATCATCAAGAATGGTCAAATTAAAGCCGGAACAATAGATGTAGTTGTAATAGTCATCAGTTTTGATTTGTACAGTTTCTTCAGCACTTAAATCTTTGGTATTTTTACAATAGGATTTGCGCCAAAATTCATCTAAAAAATCGGACCAATTCGAGCAACGTGTTTTCTTGACGTTTGGATCTTCAATCTCATTGGCAAGAATAATAGCTGAAGGATTTTTTGGTTTAGGAATGTTAACGTTTCTAATGCAATTTGTATTTGAATCGTATAAAAATAATTGCCGACCATTGTATTCATAAAAACAAGTTGATGTTTCATTTGGAGATTTTTTGATGACAAATGGATCGACTTCAAGGATCTGGTTAATTGGATGCACGATAACGGTAGATAATTTTAATATCATGTTTACAAAATTACCACCATTGGTTTCATCTGAGACTAATGTTTCGCAACCATGACCATTCCAATATTCACGAGGGCATTTTTGGCTGGAATTACAAAGAGTTAAATTTGGAAAAAGATATTGAAAATCTTTAGAAATTTTCTTTTTTTTCAATGATTCAAAAAAATTCTTGAGATCTGAATCAACCTGATATAGCTTAGAATTGATTGACATGTAAAGAGTAGACAATGCAGCATAAAATATGTTTTGTTGAGAAACTCGATATAATGTTTTATCTACATTGTTATGTAGCCGTACCATTTGTTGAGATAATTCATCATGAATTTTAGTTGATAATTTCTGATACCAATCCAACTGTTGCATTCGTGTAGCATAATTCAATTCAAGTTCGTTCAATCTGGCTCCAACATCAAATTTAGATAATAATTCTTGAGTGAAATATCCCAAAGAAGTGACCACTGACATCCAACTAATTGATGCAATGTCTTTTGGTGCCAATGAACGTTTCGAAATAGTATGGCCTTTCATATCAGGCATTTGAATTCGAATTTCATCAACTTCACGGCAATTAGAGCGAATTTGACTGACAACCAATTGGTTGTATAAGTTTTGACACAATAAATGAAATCGTTTGATTGTCTGATTAAAATGGTAATCAAAATTAAGAAAATCATCAGATAATGATGAAATCGAATCATTTCCGACATTGAATGATAATATTCGAATAAATTCTGAACAAGGTGATTGAATTGTAAAATTGATAGTGTGAAAGACAATTTGTTGAGCTACTGCATGTGATGATGGATGCCACAATATTGGAGATGATAAAGTTGTTGAATGGTTTTGTTTTAGACGTTCGTTATGCACTCCTGAGATTAATAAGCAACAAGCGATAGGAACAAATATTTCGAAATGAAAGAACATTTTCGTTATATGGAAGTGAAGACGCGACCGGTATGATAGAAATTATAATCAATATGTTTTATTTTTATCTCAAAACATTTTAAATTCAGATTCGCAAAAAATAAACACAAAACAATTTTATAACATTAAGGTAATATGAATAGAGGAAGAGAAACGCTCGAATATACGAGAGTATCGTTTATTTTGAACAGTACATTATACATATGGTGCTTGAAATTCAAGACAATTTATAAATTTTGGCTCATTTTTCGCTAATGATTTGCCGAGCTAAACGTTTGATTTCCAGAATTAAAGCAATATCATCTTCTTGTTTACGCTTCATGTCAATGTACTTAGATTTATGTCCAAGTTTTTGTGAATAAATGTATTTACTTGGCACATCCGGTATTGGCGATGAAATAGCACTCAAACGTATCACATCTACTTCCATTCCCCGGCGCATTTGTTGAGATAAACCACGACGAAAAAACGGTGAATTTCGATTACAATAGAAAATACTTGAAGCCGTCAAAATTGAAATCAGTAATGTAATAATAAATATAATGAATCGATCTTTCATTTTTTTCAACCCTTTTTTATAAATTTGCTCAGAATCACATATACTTTCTTGAATATCCTTCTACACAGATGAATTTGTAAAACATGACATATCGAATTATTGTTGTATCTTACCGTTTCAGGAGATAATTTCAATGGCATGACATCAAGAATTTCCACACCGAATGAATATTCGTATTCATTATCATAAATGTAAAGATATGTTTTATCATTAATTTCGACTTCACCAGTAATCACAAATTTTTCTCCATCCAATCCAAATTCCTCTTCTAATAGGCCACTATTTTTCTCGTAATCATGAGCACTGTCATTTTTTTGCAAAAAAACTGAATGTAATAACATTTATTTTGACTTAAAAAAACTTACTATGCTCTCCATTTGATTTGACTTGAATTTGTATCTGGAACCCTAATGAAAAAATAATACAACTGAAATTTGTTTAAGGAGACAAGGGCAAAGTGTTTTCCAGTGATTTCATATTCCTCAACTCTTTCTACAAGTTGCATTAAATTGATAACAATTTCTGGAAAGAAAGTTTGATCATCTTTCATTTTAAGGTTATTTTGTAAGAATAATCCATATAAATCGGGTATTCTTTGCTTAGTTTGCAACCAATGTTCTGCTGAAATGGTTAAATGATCATTAACTTTTTCATTACGCATATCTAAGTATACAGCATAACGAAAACGATCTGTAGTTTCTGAATCTAGCCTTAAATCAAACGAATCAAACTGAAAAATTTCAATCAAAGCATCCTTATTCTCGATATACAGCCCAGAAGTCACTACAACTTGAATGTGAAAAAAAACAATTTATAAATCATTATCTAAACATTAATTCACCTACAATTTTTCCAATCTGATTGATAGAAATTATCTGATCTCTCTAATTGCCACTGATATTGTTCAGTGACAAAATCTTCTCTGAACTTGTATATTTCCATTCTGTTTTCTCTATCACCAGTATCCCAGACAAAGAGTCCTCTTCTCGAAACTTGTCCCACTTTGATGGCCTTATTGAATCTCCCATCAAAATAAACAGCATCATATCTTTTTTGAGAACAAAATCTCTTCGCTATCATCCATTGATCGACCGATCTATCAACATTGATCGTTGAACCATATTGGTTGGGCTTTGTGATTGCAATTATTAGGCGAATGTAAAACAATAGTACGAGTACACTTCTCAACATTATATTTCATTTGGTATCACGATATGAAATTCAAGAATTAAAAACAATTTATTTTACATTTGAATTTTATTTAAATATCACAAGGTTTAAGAAAACAATTAATTTAATTATGGCGATATTTAATCAAAAAGCAGTGGATTCATTGTTGTGATTACCTAGTGAACCGTTTGATGGCGTTGATTTGAATACAAATGGCAGTTCATAAGGATGAACAGATTTCGTCGATGTCTGTGGTAATTTAGATGTTGTTGGTATCGACTGATTGATACAATCAGTAGCAACGGAAGTATTCGGCCATAAAGGCTGATGATGATGGTGACGATGTTGTTCTACAGATTCTGTCAATGTAAATGGAAATTTAGTGGCTAAAATAGACGATGGAAGAGGTGCCTGTTGTTGAGGTCCGTCGCAATACATTTCCGTGAACTGATTTTTTGGAGCTGTAAAAGTCGTCTGATGCTGTTGGTGATGGCTCAATGTACCATAGAGAGGATCATCTTGCGATTTTCTACTACCGATCAAACGTACCGCGCTATTTGAAGTCGTAGCTGATACAGTTGTATTGGGTCCAACAGATACATTACAATTTGTCGCATTTTGAAATTGAACCGAAGAAGTTGCATACGCTACTGGAAGAGAATACAATGGATATTGTGAATGTTGCTGTTTGACATCAGGAACTTTTTGTTGTTTATGATCACATTTATTTAATCCTGGATCACCGATTACCAACGAATGACATGAATCGTTGTGTAAACTATATTTAGATGTTGATTTGCCTGAACCATCTAACAATTCATCGATCGATGCAGAACATTGCATTTTGGATGCATTACCATTAGCCATACTAACAGGATTGGAACCATAAATATGTTCTAATATGAATGATATAAAACAAATTGATTATTAAATTATGGTTATACAATTGAAAATACCTCCGGTTTCCGCTACAATGCTACCATCATTTGATTCCAAACAGTTTCCAAGTTGGCCAGCACCTTCATCACCTGTCGAATATTGACTGGATAATTTCGAACCAGAAGCAACTTTATGATGTCGCTGTCGAGTATTAGCTACCAGTGAAAACATCAAGAAATTTTGTCGATTTGTTTGAATGGCACAGACGACAACAAACACAAGAAACAATATGACCAATGTACATGATACTGGAACGATGTAATGAAGTTGAGCAAACATTGATGATCGAAAGGAATTTGTCAATATTTGTGAACGTGTAGATGAAGAACTTTGTCGTCCTTGTTGTTGGCCATTGGTTCGATCATGAAATTCTTCGATTGCCTTCAGAGTTAATGGCGCAATCGTTGAGCCATCTGATTTTTGAGTTGAAAAAATGTATTCCCGGTTTACAGTTCCAGCTTCAGTAAATGCTTGTATTAATAGTTCGTACCATGACCCAGGCAGCAAATTTGTAAGCTCTATGACTAATTGGGCAGTTAGGTTAGTATGAGTATCGGATTCGACTTCTATCAAGTTTGATTGCTGATCCATTAAAGTTGATGGAGTTAAAGTCAGCTTCCGATTTGTGGCTAAATTTCCGAACACTCGAAAATCTAATTCAAATTTTTCGATCGGACAGCCGAGACGTTTCCATTGATTTAAATTGATTCGAGCATTCGAAATATTTGGTTTAACAAAATCTTGTACAGATTCTGGTGGTACAGGGACATTTCCCTCAGTTCGTGCAAGTATTACTTCGCTGGGATCACCTTGACCAGCGCCATTATATGCGTTTACATAGATGAAATATTTGGTGCCGCAACGAAGTGAACCTAAAACGTAAGTCCTTCGCTGAAAAGTGGATATTACTGGAGCTGACTCGGAATGTGTAAACACATTGGTATCAATTAAATTAGCATCATTTAAAAGTTCCAATTCGATTTTGATCGTTTTCCAATCGTTTATGTGATCATCAACTGTGGAGCTGATTTTTTCGGCTACGTTCGCCACGCTTAATTTCAACTCAGTTTGAGTTGCCGGTTTATATGATATAACAAACCCATGAATTGGTTCCTCTCCTTGAACCGACCACATCAATTCGATTGAGCTCAAATTCGATTTTAATGCACGAATTCTGGGAGCTGATGGCACATCGTATTCCAGTGTTTTTCCTTGATACTCTGAACTAGAAGGACCTGCGCCGGCCAAATTGAAAGCTTGAATTCTAAGAATGGAAAAAAAAATCTTTTTAAAAATCAAGTTTTAATAAATTTAACAAACTTTATATCGTAACGTGTAGCTCGTTTGAGATTGTTGAGAATGAAACTTTCGTGAGTATCACTCGATGAAAGATCAATGCCAGATTTGATTGTTTTAAATACAAATTCATTCAATGGATTCTGGTGATTATTATCCATAATATCAAGATGTGGTCGATATCCAATGTAGTAGCCTGTAATCGGTGGAATATATACGTTGTTTTGAGATTTATGATTGCTCGAACTGGTCTGAGGTTTTCGTGGTGGTCGCCATGAAATTTTTAAGCTTCGAGTATTGAGAGGTAATATTGTTATGTCGGTCGGGACATCATTTGGAGCTAACAAATAAAAAGATGAAAAAGAGTAAAAAAGGAATCTCGATGCTATTCAAATATTAAAACTTACGTTCTTCGGTTGTTTTTACTGTTATACTATCACTGAATGGACTGGAACCAATAGAATTTTTAGCTTTAATCTGTATTATATATGCGGTGGCTGGAGTCAGATCACTTAATTGAAATGAGATGAATTTTTTGTGCGGATCAGTGGTTGTCGCCGCCATAGAAGACGACAGGTATGCAGCATATGGAGCCAAAGTAACTGTGTTCGATATGGAACCAATAATTGTTCGGTAAGAAATGACATATTCGTTTATGGGAGAATTGCCATCAAATGGCAATGGCCAAGTAAGCTTGATCGATTGACTAGCGACTTCATCAGCCCGAATATCTTCAGGTCTATCAGGTTGTTCCAAAACGGTTACCGTAAAATTTTTTCGTATAGCACCATAAAGATTCTGTGCTGTACAAAGATAAACACCTGTGTCACTACGATCAGTATGACGTATGGTTAACTTTGTAGCATAATATCTGACATTTGGATTTGTCTGTTTTTGATTGGATTGATTTATTGAAAATGTATCAGCTTGTTTGGTAAGGTTAAGAGTTGATCCTGTTAATCCATCTTGATTCACTTCAAATGTTTGAGTAATATGATATCGATCATATGATAAGTCGGTCACTGAAAGCTTCGAATGTGATGAATTCATCACCGGTGTAGAACTAGTATCTTTAAACCAACGGATATTCAAAAGCTCGTCAATATTAGTTTCTGAAAGATTAGAAAATTTTAATGCTTGAACATTGTCGATATATTCAAGTTTGACCAAACAAGTCAATGTAACAATTTCACCAAGTTTTGCTTGTTTACTTTCCCAAAAACCATGTACAAATTGTGGTGGAACTTATTAAATTGAGAACAAGAAAACAATTAGAATACATTCAATGCTGATCAAAGAACTTACAATGGACAGAGAGTTTTATAATAGTACTTATACCGCTACCAACACCATTGAATGCGCTACACATGTATCGTCTATGATCATCACGATTTACTTCTTTGATAATCAATGATCCATTCTCTAGAATTTGCATATGAGGATTGCTGATCACAGCATGGAAAGAATTCGAATCAGAGTTTGAATTGGAACTCTCAGATATCGATTTAGTTGGCAGCTTTTTCGCATTATTATTGTTGACAAGCAAATCGTTGCCTTCAACTTTCCAACGAACCTGTGGTTCTGGAATACCTTCAGCTTGACAGTCGATCACTAACATCTGACCTGAAATAGCTATAATGTCTTCGGGTTCAAAAAGCCATACTGGTGCCACTATTTTAAAATACGAAATGTGATTTAATCATTAACACTAGCTTTCAATTTTTACCATTTACGCGTAGATCCGCATGATGACGATCGCTGGTAGCCATATTGGATGCGATACACGTATATCTTCCAACGTGACGACGTTTCAATGCAGTGAATGTGATACTTGATGTAAATTCATTCACCATTTCGATTTTACGATCACCACTACTAGTTAATGGTTTACCATCTTTGAGCCAATGAATGAGAATTGGTGGATCACCCGATATCACAGCACATACGACAACGCTACGCATTCCTTCCTCAAGGTTGGGTGCAAACGTAAAATTATCAATTCGAGGACCAGCTAAAAAAAATATATATAAATATCGAGTCATATAAATAATTCAAATAATCTAGGCCAAAGCTTACTGATGACGTTTAAATGAAGTTTGGTTTGTGAAGTAGAGCCCGGGTTGCTAGAGAATTCCACTTCGCATTCATATGCTCCTTCGTCTTCTTTTTTGTTTATTTTGCTAACATTCATTAAATCATTATGAAGATAAAAGCAATTTAATCACATTCATTATAATTATTATAACGATTCCATATAAAACAAAAAGTAACAATTTTTAATTATACACACATGAATTACATTGATAATGATCATAACCTACCTGATATGTAATGTTCCATTAGGTGATATGTGTTGACGCCCATTTGTTGGCAATTTTCGCTGTGATCCATCTGTGTGAATTAAGGTATTGAAATTAATAATAATATTGATTATCATAATGATGAACCAATCGTTCGATCGAATGACAAACATACCTTTGCCAAACCAACTTATCGTCTTAATTGGATATCCATAGAAAGGACAATTCAGATTTATATCAGTTCCAGACAGGACAGTCAAATTAGGTGTATGAACTTTGACTGCTCCTTTGCCCAAAACATTTATTCGTGCTTCATAATATGTTGAACCAGCTAAATTTTTTGCAGTACATCGATAAACACCACCATCTTCAACCCGACTGCCGGTTACATTCAAATGACTGACCAACAAAGAATCAAAAGTTGATGATCCATGATGGCTATAATTATCTTTCATAACGAAATCACCCAAACGAAATCTATTCGATGTTGGCATAGGCATTCGATCTAATGTCCATTCTATTTGTGCTAATGGTGACCCACGGGAAACACAACGCAATGTAAAACTTTCGCCCGATTGAACTGTTAACTCGTTAAAATGTTCGACAATAGATGGCGGTTGATCTATTTGGAAAATCGAATGAAAGAATCGAGAATTATAAATATTTTTTCAACTAAACTTTTATTTTGGCCAATATACAATAGTAAAGAATCAATAATCGGATTAATCTTTCTCATCATTGTATATAGATTATTTAAAGATAATAGAGTGAATCCATTAAGAGATCAGATCATTTTTTATTCATTTATATTTTATAAAATTACTACGATAGGACCAATGGTTGTGCTTATAAAATGTATTCAATAAGTATGAAATGTTAAAAATAAAAGTATCATTTTTTTTCAAAATCGAACATTTAAAATATAATCATATATAATGGAAATGTTATATTCGTATCATTTAAAATAAATATTTTCAAATTCAATTTCATTCTAATTTTGGTTGGCTGATTTCATACTTTCATATAATTTGGAATCAAGATTCAAATAACATTTTGGAACATTAACCAACGCGCAACATAAAACAAAATAACAGAAATTTAATAAATAAATGTTATTTTCTTGCGAATGAATCAAATCAAGATAATTGGTTCTCGATAAATGACCCAAAGTATACTCGTTTTTTAGTGCTAGTGGTAGAAATTTCTTCGTGAAAATTAATTGTCCAAAATGAAAAACTGGTTCACTTCTACCTTAATTTATCATCCAATTGCGAAATTATTGCTAACTCATTCATTTTCACGAGCTATTAAACTTTGTCACAAATTTTGAATGAATAAAAAGCAAAAAAAAATATCATATGAAATATTGATGTTTCAAACAATATGAATTTTTAGAAAAATTGCTCAGATAAAGCTAGTCAATAATAAATTCACCGAATTTGTGATAATTGTTTGATCGTTTGAAAAATTGATTCGACTCATCAATATACGATTGTATTATCATTATATTATCAAAGGGGACATATGTCGATGCCAAAATATTTCAAAACTTCAATCGTTATTTTATCCGAAGAAAGTGTATCCTGTTGAAAATCATTTTACGGTTAATTAATCCAATTTGGCTATACATTATGGAGATGGAATTTGTGTTTTGTGTTATGGACAAAAGAATAAATGATTCTCTATACGAAATGAAGCCGGTCATAATTGTATGTTGTTTGAATGTAAAGCAAAGGCACACATCAACATCAAACGCCCATTGTTTGATATGTCAAAAAAGATAATAATAATAAAAACTATGTTAAACTAGAATCTCGCCAAAAAAGACTGAGACATTCATTGAATATAGCGATGATTTCCATACAATTCTGCTTTCATCATCATTTCACAATGAATGAGCATTATTTGAATTTAAATTGAAATCGCCTTTGAATACATAGTATAAACTTTTTACTGTTTTTTTCATATCACAATCATCGATTGACCGTATGTCAGAGTTAAATTGTACCTAACTGATATGAATATAGTTAGAATAGAAAAATGGTCACGATCGATGATATGATGAAAATAGAATAGAATTCGATTTAAGTAGAAAAATTTTAGAAAAAAGAATTTTTTTTCTCAAATTTTAAAATCGTTTCTGATTCGATGCTGAAATGTAGCACATGAAAAGGAAATTCAATTTCTTCCATTTTTTGATGATTAACAAACCATATACAGCGGGAATAATTCCATCAACCAAAAAAAAACTTTCTATACATTTGTTTGGAAAATACTGATTGAATTTGATCATTATCAATGATCATTCATCCATTTTTTAGTATGCCAATATAGAGTTAATGATTCACAAATTTTTTAATGATTTTTTGCTAGTATTGAATCAAATCAGGCAAGAATTTGATAAACGAATTGTACATATCAGAAATAACAAAAAAACTAACATCACAGATGTGTAAAAATGCAACCTTTGAATTGTAGCTTAATATTTTTTTTTGAGACTACTTACCCATAACTTGAATTTGTATAGTAGCTTGAACAGTTTCAAAACGATTACGTGCAAAACATTGATACATTCCAGATTTGCTACGATCATCTAGTACTAGATCTAAATGTTGTATAGCGGATATATCACGACGATTATTGCTATTCGTCTGATCTTTATTAATGTCTGTACCATATAATTGTAAATATTGGGCAGTATTCATTTTGATACGAGAATTTCCTGATCCTGGATAGTAACCAGATGATGATAATGAATCCAAATCAACAACACCATAATGATAATGATAATTTACTGCTGGTTGTAGATTTTGTTCTTGTTTTTGTTCATTTCCGTTTCTTACATTTTGTCCGGAATTGACCAGAATCATTTGCGTATTGTGAAGCCAATAAACGTCGGATAATGGAAATCCATGCACTGTACATCGTATTCGAATAATTTCACCACGAACTCCACGAATTATTTTTTGTTGTTTTGATTCCTGATGAAACTGGTGTTGTTGGCGTGCATTATGAGTTGGCACCATGAACAATTTCTTTGTTGAAACGGCTTGAATTGGCACTGAATCTATTTTTAATGTTAGCGGCGAACGTACATTGACTGTAGTGATACATCGATCATAGCCGACTGTGTTGGCCACAATGGCAATATAATGGCCAGCGTTGGAATGAGTGATGGGTCCAGGAATCAATAATGTACTATCCATTGATCGTAGACGGCTCAACATTAATTGTTGACGACGATATTCTTTGCTATTTGGATCGACATTTTGGCCACCAATAGTGTTAGATGATTTTGAAGAGGATTGATCATTAGATTGTTGCACAGGGATAGGCATGGCGAATGAATTGATCGATGATGTAGTTGATGAAGATTTTTGTTGTTGTTGTTGAGACAATAACAATGTGGCAATTTCCGTTTCCCAATCGAAATGTACTCCAAATGGAATCCAATACCATTTATATGACGATAATGGTTGTGAATGTGCAGCGCATGGTATCAACAGTGGTTCCAATTGCCCGTCATCCGCATCAAGTTCGTCTAATCGATGAACAATTCTTGGCGGAAATATGTCCTTCTCGCCACCTAATAAATTTTATTATTGTAAAAAATGCCAAATGAAACAAAAAGAAACAAATAAAATATAAAAGAATTAGAAAGATTTCCATCATCAATAATCGAGAACAATAAATTGAGAATCTGGCAAAAAAGAAAAAGAAAAAAGGATAAAAATGAAGGAAAAAATCATACACAAGTGTCCGATTCTTTGACTAAAATGACATTATATTTTTTTCTACCATAGAAATACGATACTAATGGCAAAATCGATATATCGGAAACATTCCAAATAAAAAAAACATTGATGAAACAGGAAACAAAAACCCTACAACAAACTTTGAAATCGAATGCTTCAAGCATCGAATCTCGTGTATACATTCATGTTACGATTAAACCAGAAAAAAATGAGTTTGAATATTACTATACAGATTGAAACTTTGATTGCAATTGATGGCAATTATTTACGGACAATAAATGAATGGCCATTTGTTTTTTTTTCATTCATTTATAGTTATAAAAATAAAGGTTTCACTTCAATAATCATTGTGCAATCTGAAACGAATGGAAAAAACTAAAGATAGTCATTGGATACAACAATAATGATAATTATTATTATTATTATCAACATCTAAAATTTGGAATGAAGATTTTTTTTTACCAAAAATAAAATGAATACTTTTATTTGTGTTTGATTTTGATTGCTCTATTTCATCTATGTAAATAACATATACACAAACACATTTACAATATAAAATAATAAAGGATTTTCAGTGTTAATATAGCATTTGGGAATTGGTAAAATGATGATGATGATGACGATGAAGAATTTTCAATGATTGTTTCCATGAATATCTGTTATAATAATATGATGAGAAGGAAATCCGGATTTTTTTCTATTAACGATGGAATTTGAAATGGAATAATAAAAAAAGATTCATCCACATCAATTCAAACTAAACTCAGCATGTGCAACTTATTCAATGATATCTCCGGTTTCAGGCTATTGGATGATTCTATACCAAAAAAAAAATGTAAAACAAATCAATCGGGTAAAGGGATTTCTACTTTCATTTTCATCAAATATAAAGAAACAACAACATTATTCATTTTAAAAAGCGAAAAGATCAACGTTGTACAAATCAAGGCGACAAACAAACAAAAAAATAAATTTGCAAAACAGGATTACCACCATCAGGCAAAATCAATTTTCAAACAAACAAAAAATGAAAACAATAGATAAATTTTGTAAAAAATAGGATTTTCATCATATTCGTCGTAAATAGATGTCAACAAAAAATTCCAATTCGTTTGATTATTAAAAATGAAAACAACAACATCTGAAATCTAACCAAATAAATAAATAAAAAACAAAACAAGAAGACATTCCATTCGTTCGTACAAAGTATCCGAAGAAACAAGACTGAAATCAACTACCCTCAACCAGAAGATGTGATTAATTTAAATGGATACAATTTGCGAAAAGGCAAAATGTGCACTCACCAAAAAATAAAATAAAATAAGGGAAAAAATGAAAGTTGGCAAGCAAAAGGAAAAAAAATTTACTACATTCAAGTATTATTTGTATCATTCATACAGATAGTCAACGGAAATTATCATCATCATCATACTTGTATATTCATATTCTTTTTTACATGTCTTGTTCAAATGGTTGATTTTTCCCTTTGAAAAAAATGAATCACATTATTTACGGGAAACATACATATAACATATAATTCATATAAAAACTCAATAGAGATTCATCAAACAATCTATCTTATTTTTAAGATATTTTCAGTTTATTGAATTGAAATAAAATGAATGATGAGTTGTACATACACACACATTTGTTCGTTTTCCGTTTGCCCTAAGGCCCATTCGAAGCTAAACCAAAAAAAAAAGAAAAAAAAAACGTTTTCAAAATAGAATTTCGTAATTCACATTGAATAAAATAAAATTCCTGATTGTCTGTAATAATATTTCATCTAAAAATTTGCCAAACTGTTAACAACAACAACGACAATTCATTCATAAAACGATATGAACATCTTTATCTAAAGAAGCGAGAAAAAAAATCAAACATTTCAAATTTGAGAAAAAAAATCAGATCCAGATTTTGTTGGTTATTGTTGAAATTGTTGAGTGAAGAAGAAAAAAAACACTGTCAACACAGTGTTGTTTAGAACAATCATAAAGTAATAAAAATAAAATTAAAAAGAATTTCTATCGGAAAATGATCATGATGAAAATTGAATTGAATTTTTAAAATGACAAATTGCTTCGACATTTTGTCATTGAATAAAAGATCTAATCATAATTGAAAAATCTTTATTGTTTGTTCTCTTATTGAATGGTTGATGGGCCGAAATTCTTTCGACAGATATAATATCCATTACAAAAGACTAAAGAAAAAAAATGTATAGGTGAAATATTTATATCATAATGATCGTAAAAGAATTTTGATAACGTTCCATCATAGAATATATAAAAATGATGAAATAGATGAAAAAATTAATATCAAATGAATTGAGGCCAACAAAAAAAAGATGGTTGGAAAAAATTTTTAGAATTTCTCTTTATTTTTCCTACTTTCTTTCTTCATAAAAAAAATCTTTAGCCGAATTGGATAAGAATTCGAAAAGAAGAAAAAAAGAATGAATTCGTAAGCGGCGTTCATTTATTTTCTTTTTCATTCAAATGATTTCGATGAAAATCCGGCCATTACTAAATGTGAGAAGAAAAAATTGTCTTTATATTGTTTTTCCAGAAAAAAAACAAAAAAAAAATATTTATGATTGTTTTAAAGATTGAAATTGGAAAAAAGTGGGTTGCATATGTGACATTATAAAGGGTTATATCTTTGTCATCATCAGCATATTATTATTTGAACAAAATGATTTCAATGATGATGATGGCAATGATTCGATTATTCAGCGAAAAAATTCATTCATTATAATATTTTTCTTTATGTCGTTTATTTGCTTTTATTAATTTGCTTTTTGGAAATTCCATTTCATTGGATCTATTGTCTGTTTTCTTTTTTTGAATGTTTAAAGGAATCTTTATATAATGATGAAAAAGTAATAAGAATGGGACAAAAAAGCATGGAATATATTCAAATTAAGAGAATGATTTTCTACAATAAACTTGTGCATCCACTGACAAAATTGTTTGGAATTTGTTTTTATTTTCCTTAAATTTTTCAAAACATTCTTCAATTTTCTACTTTGTAAATGATTGAATTAAACCATTAAATTTCAATCATTAGTGATAAGAAATATGGTATAATATCAAGATTAAACTACCGAAAACAATAGTCATTAAGGGGTTAAATTTTGCCATTTTGATATATATTTTTTCTTTTGGAATACCTGAAAGTATTATTTGTGCAAATGTACTTTCAGCCAATGGTCGTTGCAGATTTATTGGCATTTGTTGTGATGTCTGTTGTTGACTACTTGGTTGTTGATGTTGCTGCTGTTGTTGTTGAATGAATTGATTCGAATGATGGTGAACATGTATATCTTCGATTTAATAGACAAAAAGGACAAAAAGTTAATTACTATTAAAAGAAAATTTTTAAAAAATATTTACCGGTAAATCGTTGCTGAGATTTTTTCGGTTGATTTTGGGCATGATAGACGGCACATTGATATGTTCGTCTTGAATCATGTTCATCAACATCGCGTACATGAAGCTCACCACTTGGATATGCCGTATATTTGCCTTTAAATAAATAAAAAGATTGAGACATTAGATAAATTTTTGTTGAAGTCGATGAAAGAGGAAAAATTTTATCTCATTCATAAATGGATTATTAATCATTGAAAAGTTGTTAATGATAATATTCCAACAACAAAAAAAAAGTTTAAAAATAACACAGAACGAATGGACATAATCTATAATAATAATGACCAGAAGAAAACTTTGATGATCACGTTATTTGTGATAATGATTGAATTTCAAAGTAAATGATAATGATCATCATAAATGGCTGATGATGATGATGATGATGATGATGATAAAAAACAATTACAATTATTTAGTAACCTTGATCAAGAAGATCATCATAATAATGATGATGCATCATTAGTATCCAAAGAGTAAGTGTATTTAGAAAAAAATAGAATAAAAAAAAACTATTTTCATCATAAAAGGTAAATGTAATTGTTTCTAGATAAAAATATAGAGAAAGTGAAAAATCAGAATCATTCATTATAATTATTATCAGTATTTTCTTTTGAAGAAACCTATGGCCATTATCTAATAAAATGTTTGTACCAGTTTTTTTTTCGTTGTCGGAGTAATGGTGATTAACCAATACTGTTCAACACACAGATACATACAATTTTGAGTGTGTGTGTTTGATAATGAAATTATAATTTGAGCTTACATTCTATACACATATACCAGAATATTTTTTTCCCGTTTCTTGTCTTTTTTTTTGTTTGCCTGATTTTTTATGAATTCAACTCACGTTTCGATGAACAGGAAAAATTCATTTTTTTCCTCTCTTTTACGTTTGCTTATCATCATGATATATGTGAATGGACAGTAAAATGAAATGAAAAAAAAAATGTTTGAATAGAATATATTCTGACAACAACAAAAAAAAATTAACAAATGAAAAAAACATTCATTCATTCATTCATTACGATAATCACCAAACATGCAAAGACAAAAGATCGTTTACGACCACGCCTTTTCATATACGAAGGCGTATTCATAAGATGAAATTGTTAATCTTAACATCATGTTAGACAAAGATGTTATATGCATAAGGGAGGTGTTTGTAATTAATTGTTAACTTTTATTTGACGATTTTGATTTCGATTTAGCCATTTGATGATCAGATTTTCAATGATTTTTGTTTGTTTTTTTTTGTGATCAAATCGAACCAATCAACAAACGACAAACATTCGAACAAGTTCAAGTGGATGTCATAAATTTTTATAACTTTTTTTTGTTGTTGTTACTGATCACCATCGAATCGGTGACAATTGGAAATGAAATTTCAGATTAAACAATATTGGCCACTTGAGAGCAGTTACACAATAGAGAGAAATGAATGACAATGAATAAAAATAGGATATTGGAGACAAGTTTTTTTTTTTGTTAGCATCGAGCTGATGATTATTGAACCTTCGTGTGATGAAAAATGAATCAAGGAAAAAACAATTCTGGATAATAATCCATGAACTAGATTTCTATAGTTAACAAATGGGCAAAAACTTTATCATATGAATTAGTAATGTTATTTGAAATTGTTTTGTTTTGTTATTCCCATAGATCGATTATTCAAGGAATCAATTCAAAATGGCTAAAAAAACGATTGGCATCAAGTTTTTTTCTTCCTGAAACAAAAAAACAATCTCTCAATTTTCTTGGGAAAAGAAAAACTTTTGATTACACACCACTTGTATAAAAAAGATTTTAGATTGAGGATCGAAATGAAAAAAAACTTTGCCGGTTACAGAAAAAAAATGTCATATTTTAATACGTGTTGTTGTTTATGGCCAGGCAAAAAAAACTTCCATGCGTCAGCAAAATGAACAAAAAATTGTTTTTCCTTAAAAAGACTATTGACTTCAATTGCTATCGATGTTGGTTTGTTTTGATCCCGCATTCATTTTTTTGCCATCATAAGCAATAATGTTCAACCGAATTCATTCAGTGAATATGACAATGACAATTTTGAGTTTTATTTTTTTTTCCTGATGGCTGATACTTCAACCAATCGATTATATAAAATGATGAAGTTCGTTGGCATAGACAATAGACTACTGGGTAGAAATTTTTTCAAACAAAATTCCAATAATTCGTCGAATCAAAATGTTAGCTTCACTGCCTAAATTCGATAATATTTTCTTCAAATAATTGGTATATGAAGCATACCGAATTGGAGGCAAAAATCATCGAAATTAAATCTAACAAAATCGGATTCAAGAGTGTAAAATTCTTATTTTTTTTTATATATACTCAATATATGATCAATAATAAGGATCATGGATAAAATAGATAAAGGAAAAAATCTATTCATCATCAATAAAATGTTTGAGTACCAGATTTACTTTTCAATTGTCGTTTTTTTTTGTTGATTCATTCGATCTATAGAGAGACTGCATCATTGATTCGAAATACATGTTATTCGACATTCAAAAAAAAAGAATCTATTGTAAGAAAATATTACGAAATTGGAACTTTGGACTCATCATTTGACTGTTCCATCAGTTGTATATCATTGAGTATAAGAATAAACACGCATACATATGGTATTCAATTGATGCTTCAAACTTGAAGAAATGAAAAAAATAAAGATTCTATGTTGCCATGCTTATCATCATCATATATAATCCAATATTACTTTTGCGACACACGCACATATACAAGTATTTGAAACAAACAAAGAATAAATTCTTCACTTCAGTTACTCATGATGTTTGCTTTCTTTGGAATAATAATAACAAAAAAAAGAGAATTGATTTTTTATTTTTGTTTGTTGTTATCGGTTTGAGTTTAGTTTAGATATATATTTTTTCTATATTTTATTTCTTGTCTATCATCAGTTAAGAGAAAAAAAAGAATCTCATAGTCGAACTTGTGATTATTGAGAAAATATGGTTGAAAAAAAAACCAAGAAAAGTCTATTCTTATCGGCTAAGGCTAAATCTAACTAATGTTACGATGATAAAATGGAATAAAAAATAAAATATAAAAAAAATGAAATGAAAATCCAGATTGATTGAATGAATGAAAAAAAATGGAAATCACACTAAAGCTCAAAAATCGGCATTGACAATCTAAAATGGTGGGATTAACTGATACAACCGACTTTGAGTCCAGAAACCTGAATAAGACACCAATGACCATTTAACTTTAAATAATTTGAATTCTCACCAAGTGAAACAAAGTTTCAAAGTGTTCAAAGTTTTTGCAGAAAGAAATAAAAAAAACTCGTTTTTCATATCACTTATCTGCGAAAAATATTGAGAAAAAATATGAAAAGTTTGTGTTAGAATAATATATGAAAGATGATATAGTAACATTTTGTAATTGCAAATGAGACAATCATAAAGATTTAGTTGTGAAACAAACAAAAAAAAACAACACTGGTTAGCCAAAAGAATTCAAAGCTCATTGATGTGTTGGTCAATGTGGTATGTACAGTTTATTTTTCAGATGTTTGATTTATTTGCTTTCGGTGGTAAGCAATGAAAATATTTCATTTGAAGTTTCATAACTTTATATTCTTTAATAGTGAATTTAGATACAATTTTATAAAAAACTGTTTGGTTGGATCCTAAAATATTAATCAAGATTAACAATTTCATAGTGATGTTTTAATGGATTTATTGAATCATGAATCATACCAATGAAGCAATCAATATTATTAACGTAAATAATATGATTTTGGTGATAGTAATCCTGCTAATTTTTTTGTTTGTTTGCAAACCATATCAAATCAAGACCAGAAAACTGATTTTTTTGATTAGTTATTCTAAGCGAATAACACCTTCAACATGATCAATGGGATATGAGCAAAAGGAAATCTGTCAATAAATGGCTGACCAAACAGATTTTTTTTGTGCAGAAAAACAGAAGCTAATTTGAATTTTTTTCTTTTCGTTCGTTTTCCATTCTGATCGATGTTACAGTAATCTGATTGATTGATTCGATTCGAATCTAAAACACAATATTTTGCAAAAATAGAAACAACGAAAAAAAAGTTGAACCAAAAGGAATATGTTAACACAAGATGGATGAGTGAATGTATTGGCTAAAAAAAGTATTCGAAACAACAATCAAATTTGAATGTCAATAATATATGTTTTTGATGAACTAAATCCAATAGTATTATGAACGAAATAGAGATGTCATTTTTTCGTTATCACAAAAACAGCCAAACATATTTTCCCATCAATTCGATAGCAAAATATGGATCGACAATGGCTGCAAATATACGCTGCAAAATTAATGTTCAAGTAAATATAGCCAAAATGCCATTTTTTTCATCGATAATATTTCTGATGTCAGATTAGAAAATTCATTTATCGGAAATAAACGAGTCAAATAAAACAAAGAAATTACATACATGTTGTGGAATGTTACTCATTGTTTATAACGAAAAATAGAAAACAAAATTCTCGGTTATTATAGAATGCTATTATGACTTAAGTGGTTTCAATAGGTGTAAACATGATTATTATCAAATGTTATGACAATGACCATGAACAGGAATTTGTTCAAATTATTAAATTTTTCTTGTGATCATTTTTTTAAAAATAGCAATGAAAATGATGATACCGTTTATGGCAACTAATGTAACCTAAACGATCGTACAAATTATCATTATTAAGATTGATGATGAAAACATTGTTCAATTCTATAGGTCACGCTACCAGGTGATTGGATATTAAATTCATTCTTATCGTTATCATCAATAATTAATCACAACAATGAACGGAAAGTTGATTTATGAAAGTTGATCTTACATTAAATGCAATCAATTTATGCAAAGAATTATAGTAGTTTGAAATTTTTTTTCAATATGGTAAGATGAAAAATTAAGATCTAATATTGTATGGTGCTAAAATGATTGTTTTCATTAATTCAACATTTTCAACTAGATAAACAGAAAAAGGATTAAGGATACTTAATTCGTTTAGTCTACAGGAGAAATGATGCGATTTTTGAAAAAAAGCGGAACAAAATTTCTAATTCATTCT